CGTATTATTTATATTGTGTCAAGATTAAATTAGCACTATAAAAGTTATCTTTTATTCAAAGACAAATTAAATTCTCTTGACAATTCCAAATTCATCTGTTTCCCTTTTTAATAATTTTATTTTTTTAGTACATGTTACTTTCATTGTGGGGAGTTGGTTTATGCACAAAAAAATCTTAATTTTTTTTACTATTTCCTTTTTAAATGCATTTCTATAGCTAGAAGCTTCCTCCATCCCCCTTCCACTTTGATCCTCAGTGAATGGATTTTCTACGCCTTCTGCTGGCCAAAAGTATCAGCTGCAAAGACTGAACAGAAAGGAAAAGCCAGGAAACAGCAAAAGATAACTAACATTCTGCTCATCTATGTATTTGTCCCTCTTTTATTCACTCAAAAGATCTTTAGTAAATACCTATTATGTTCTAGACACTATGATAGATTTGTAAAATACAAAAGAAATCAAACGCAATTCCTGTACTTGAAATCACCCTATATTCTTTTTTCCAAAAAAGTATCAAGTCCCAGCTTTCTGGAGCTTGGAATTCCAGAAAAAGCACTTCTGCCAAGAAAGGGTGATTGGTGTGTTCATACTGAGCCACAAGAATAACTCATAACAGAGAACACTCTTATACCACACTCTCTGGAAACAGTTAAATTTCAGGTTTCCATAAACTGCTACATACAGTCTGCAACAGTAAGAGAAGTGACACTAAAGAAGAAAAACAAGTGCATGGCACATGCCTGTAACCCCAACACTTGGGAGGCAGGAGGATCACAAGCTCAATTCCTGCCTGGGCAACCTAGTAGGGTCCTATCTCAAAATTTTTAAATAAAAAGGAAGCCAGGAGTAGTGGTGCATGCCTATTAACCCAGTACTCTGAAGGGTGGGACAGGAGAATCATAAATTTAAGCCCAGCCTAGGCAACCTAGTGACTTGGTGAGCTCTGTCTCAAAACTGAATTACATTAAATTAATAAATAGGGGCTGAGGGCAGAGGTTAGTGGTAGAGTGCTCCAGAGTTGGATCCCTCCATAAAGGAGAAAGAGAAGTAACCCAAAGCTTGAAATGTAGTCAGCTGCCTTGGGAAAAATCAGGCATGTTTTTGAGTCTTTTGTAATTTAGACATGGTTTAAAGTTTGTATTATTGGAAATTTACAAAATTTCACAAAACCAAAATTCTGGCAGATGCTCTATTCTTACCTGCTTCATTACCTGACCAGTAGTTATCTATTTCATGGAGCAACAAACATGCTATTTCAGGAATGCTGTATGATCCTGTTGACAACTATACAGAACTAAAATTACAAAAACACGAGAAACTACAATTAAATTTTATAACAAGTTTAAGACTTCAGATCGTTCCAACAGCTCCCCAGTTTTTTTGAACAAGATCTGCACTTGTGTTTGTCTTACTTGTTGGCTCCACCCAGCAGGCCACATCATTCTCTTTCAAACCCACTGTATGCATTAGTCTCACAGTGTAATTTAACTTAGTCCCCGCCTTTTTCGTTGCTATACAGTAATAGGACCTCTTAATGAGAACGGGGGCACTTTGGTAACTTGCGAAGTCTGTTCGCGTCACAGTGATTGGAGATGCTCTTGATATGCACCGGCAGGGGGCAGTGCTCCCCGCTCTACCGAGGGAGGCGCCAAGCAAGAAAGGGGCTCACGTTCCGCAAGACTTCCCAAGGCCCCACCACTTTTCACGTGGGTAAATAAAACAACGTGTTTACCTGAGCCTGAGCGCTAATGTTTTTTACTATAACAAAATGTATTTTTTGCACAGTGTTAACACACAAAATATTTTAAGCGTATGCCTTCCTTTTAATCATGGGAAGATTGGACATTGTTTTTACTCAAACTTTTCCAGAAATGGTTCACTATTGTGGAAAATGATGTCCCTAAAAGAAGCGCCATTCCTGGCCCTTGTGCCAATAATAGCATGTATTCATATAATCACATTTATAGCCATGGCAAATATTTTTCAGTGAAAATTTGGGCCACAATTACTGTTAATTGATATACATAAAATGCAAATTTCTCCCTATATTTTCTTAATAATTCCATTATTTTAATTTGTGACATAAGAATATTGTTATAAGAGTTACATCTTGTAATTGCCTCACCCCCCTCCCTCGTTTTTGAAGCACTGGGGCTTGAACCCAGGGCCTTGTATATGCTACAGAAGTGTTCTACCACTAAGCTACATCTCAAGCCAGACTGTTATTCTTTAAATTTTTATTTTGAGACAGGGTCTCCCTAAGATTCCCAGGCAGTCCTCAATCCTGCAATCCCTCTGCATCAGCTTCCTGAGTAGCTGGGACATGGACACAACCATGTCCAGCTTCTATCTTTTCAGTCAGTCTTGCTGTCGAAAAGCCAGGGTTAAGGCTCAGTGGCAGAGTGTTTGCCAAGCATGTGCAAAGCCCAGGGTTCAATCCTTGTACCATATTCTTTAAAAAATAAACAACTCACATAGAATTTAACTGTAGTGAGGTCTGCCTTACCCAGTTCTAATTCATTTTTTAAAACATACAGTTCCAAGATCTACCACACAATTTCTCTATCATCTCCTATACTACTATTTCTTTTTCCCATAGATCTCCAATTCCCTATTGACTGTGAAAATATACAGCCTTTGACAGAATGTGTACTCAAAACAGAACATATACCTCAATGTGTGGTTTTGTGTTCTGGAAGAGTCTCTCTCATCTCCATCCCAGTCAGAACAGAGAATTATTTGACATACACTCATATAAGGTCCAGCTCTTCTGCAAGAATGTCATACTTCCTTATTTTCTCACTTCAACTATCTATAATTTGTCTTGAGATGTCATCTCTCCTGCAATTAAAGCTACTCACTCCTTCTCTTATCATACAGAGACAGGCCCAGCTTGCCATTGCTTACTCCAGCAATAGTTTTATCCTACTATGCGCTGTGCCTCTGCTCTTTCATTTTCCTCCAATTGCTCAGCAACTTGTAATTTTGCTCCTTTGGTTTCATCAGAGCCATTACAAGTAGGTGCGAATATCTGACTACTTCATGTGGACTGCTTGTGCGGTCATGCTCAAGCGTTATGTATGGACATACACTCTCTTCATTACGCTTTCCTTTCTCCTTTAAATTATTACTAAGAATGCTGTGTTTTTATGTAATGTACTTCAGCTTTTAAATTATGTGTGCAGGTAGGTTATGCCATGAATTAATTTCAGAAAAGGAAATGCTTATCATAAAAAGAAGACTTCAGATCTCAGTCACTTTCTCCCTCCTCTCTGACATGAAGTCTAATCTGCTCCTCAAGGCTTACTCAAGATGCTTTACAGCTCAGCTTGGTACCTGCTCCTGCATGAAGCTATGTTCTCTGATGGACTTTGAAAATGTCTCTGAAATATGGCTTTATTTGCTTCAAGTAATTGCCAGTTAATCTCATACTTCCTTGAATTACCACTGCTAATTTGTGTGTGTGTCTCACCAACAGCTAGAAGGCAAGATTATTTGCCCTAATCTTATATCCCTACCACTATACTCTGCACAAAGTTAAAATTCAAAATATTCTGGTTTACTAAAAAACTGACTTCTAGAATGTATACGGTAGTATAGCTCTTGGCACGTCTCTCCACTGCACCACACTTTAGCTCTTTGCATGTCTGACCCTCACTGGCAGCTAGTTCTTGAAGAAAGGGCTATGATCTCTGTAATCACAGCCTCTGAACAGACTGAGCAGTTGACAGAAATCGTGCAGCAAGAGTTTATGAATGCTCAGATGAATGCATTAAGCTCACAAGGGAGATTCTGGTGTGACTGTGGACTGCAGAGAAACAATTTTATAGAAACAAATGCAATTAAATCTACTACAATATAGGAAATCTCAGAATGGAGGTTCCCAGATTTATCCCTTCAGATTCACATTATTATTTTTTTCAGATGAGATGTCTAATTTTCTATCCTTTTCTCTGCAGAGATTTTCTCTATAAGGGGATTCTTTTAACATTTATTCTTTTCAAATAGCAACAATAAACCAATTATATCATATTATAGATAAAATATTTACATAAAAATAACTATCTTCTGCTGGGCATGGAGGCACACACCTATAATCCCAGCACTCAGGAGGCTGAGGCAGGAGGGTCACTGGGAGTTCGAGGCTAGCTTATGCTACTTAGTGAGTTTAAGGCCAGTCTGAACTACATAGTGAGAACTTGTCTCAAAAAAAAAACTGTCTCCCAAAATAAAAACTTAGTAATAGTGACATTGGTTTTATGTATTTGTAAATCTCTTGGTTTTCTGGCTAGACAGAAGATATCTGGCCCCTTGCATCTTTTTCTATACACATCCTATTGTTACAGGGAATACTGTGAAGCCTCTGGAAAACTCCACCATGCGATGTGGTGAGAAGGACAGTGAAAAGGGCAAAGAACATCTTGGAATTGTTATAAAAGTGATTTTGACCTCAGGACTTTGTGGGGACATTATGATGGGCCTCTACTTCAAGGGCAGGTCCTGTTCCATGTGGTCCAAGAGCTCACTCCCAAGTCGGTCTACAGTGCTGGCTTGGCCTGGTCACATCTTCTGGGAAGCGATCTGAATGTGGACCACTCTGCCTTGGGCTCCACAATCACAATGGCACAGCAAACAAGCACAGCCCTGCTCTGCTAAACTGAGCTTACATCACCAAAATAATATGCATGATTTGCATTTGAAAATAAATTAATTCTTTGGCTAAACATAAACATTAAATACCATTGGCAGTGGTTCATTTTGTGTGTGAGTTGGACTCAGATTGGTCAGAATGCTGACTGATGCATTCTGGGGATGCCTGTGGTGTTGCTGGTTGAAACTGGCATTTGAATCAGTAGACCAAGTAAAGCAGACCACCATGTGGGTGGGCCTCATCCAGCTGCAGAAGGCCAGAATCAAACAAAAAGGCTGCCAACTGAGAGCAAAAAAAGCACAACCCCTTGTCTACCTGCAGCTGTGACTTGACGCTTTCCTCCCTTCAGACTCCAACTGAAACATCAGCACTCCTGGGTCTCAAGCTTGCCAACTCGGGGGCTGGGAATACACCATGGGTTCTCCTGGGTTTCCAGATAGCAGCAGATCTTGCCATTGTCAGCCTCCATCAGCACATGAGCCATTGCCTTAAAATAAATCTCTTTCAGCTGGGCACAGGGACGGGTAAACACCTGTAATCTCAGTACTCTGGAAGGCTGAGGTGGGAAGATTGCAAATTTGAGCCCAACCTGGATGATTTAGCAACTAACTGAGCAAAACTCTGTCCCAAAATAAAAACTAAAAATTCAGGCTGGCCTTGAACTTACCATGTAGCCCAGGCAAACTTGAAGCAATCCTTCTGCCTCAGCCTCTAGAGTGCTGTATTTAAAGACATGGGCCACCACACTTGGCTACAAAATAATTTTTTTTTTTTAAAGACTGAGGATATACCTCAGTCCAAAGTCCCTGGGCTCAATCCTTAGGGCCACAAAAAAAAATGTTTTTAAGATCTTTCCATGTATATATTTTCTATATGGTTCTGTATATATTTTCTATATGGTTCTGTTTCTCTAAAAACCCTAGATTAAAGCATCATTCTTAGAAAAAGGAAAATCTTAGAGACCACGACTAGTAGTGTATAGCCACAGAGACTTGGGTAGTATCTCTTTATCGCCCCTGAAGGAGCTTTGCCCAAAGGGCACACCATGTGTAAGGCCATTGCTAGCATATGACAGATGCAGACGTTTAAAGCTAAGGAACTGAATCACATATTCCAGGCCCAGTGGCGAGTCCATCCCTGTCATGAGCTGTGCATACTTCTAACATGAGCTATATGTTCATCTTTTGCCATCTAACTAACATCTGTGTTCATACCAAACTGTGTGATTATGACTTCACTCTTGATGTAGGTCTTTCTAAGGGATAATACTAGAGACGTTACAAGTCGTCTGACTAGAGAGAGAAGTCTGCTGCTCATCATAAATTAAATTTAAACATTTTTGGGACAACAATTGTGTCAAGTAGCTTATTTTGGACAGGCCAGGAAAGGTGTCTAACAGTTGTAACCCTTTCTAGAAGCTTCGAAATGCATGTCAGCCTCACTCACCACACAGGTTCCAGCCATGCCTTGACCCACATCACTACCTGGCCACTTCTGACTGAGCCAGGCATGGATGCTTTTCCTGGCCCATCCCAGGACTGACCTCTGGTACGAAATGCTGGCTAGCTGAAGCAGTCATGTTTTTTCTCTCCTGAAATTCAAATTAGGGGGTTGGAAAGAAGTAGCTGGTAACAGCTGGATGATTTAAAGCAGGCACAGAGCATATCTGTGTCTCCATAAATGTGCCGACCACTAGGTGCCTGCAAAGCCACGAAGTTGCTGGTGGACCCCAGAGCAATCACAAGGTCCTGGCTGGCATCCTGTCTCCATGAGATCTGAAAATGTATCTGTTCTTGTTTTGCTTTCACTAAGGAAGAAGCACATTTTCTTCTTACTTTTTCTAATGGTGTAAGATATATTGCTGTGTGAGCGGGAAGACAACTGAACCACAGGTGTTCTGTACAATCGGGGGGCACGCAAGACTTAGCACAGGTATAAAAATCCAAGACGTCTGCCCAGAGGAGGACAGTAACAGGCACAAATAAACCAGCAGGTCTGAGGCAAATAATGAGGACATCTGGCCTGTTAAAGGAAGAGCCTGTTTCCCAGCTCTGCTCATAGTTACCGTTCAGAAGAAATGACACTGCTCACCGTAACTCCCAAGTTTTAAATGAGATAAAGCATGTCATGTGATTAATATATGCCCAGAACATTGTAACAGCTCATTATATTAGTTATTATTGGTTTTATATCACTTATGATCATCATTAGCTGTCATATAGCTTTAGGAACCATCTAAAAGAATCAAACTACTTGGAAAATTTATGTTTTCTAATTCCTTAGCACATTTTTATCTCATAGATATTAAAATGCTTCTAATTGATCTCTTAACTGATTCACAAAAACCCTAAAATTTAAAGTATGCTGACTCTTTTGGTCGACTTTCTGTTAATGATTCATATCTTCATTTTTCTGACCTGTATTTTCCCTGGATAATTACCCTCATAGACACCTTCAGACATTGCCTATTAAACAAAAATACATATTGGACAAAATATGATTTTCTTCAAGTTGGTTCAGGCCTTTAATCAAAGACTGCCAGCTCTGCCTAGCTCTTCTAAAGCAAGTCAGTGCATCTGCTCATCTTTGCAGGTCTTACACAATGAAGTCAACTAAGAAAGGATCAAGGAGACCATGTCTTCACACACAACACAGTAATGCAGCACACATACACACAGGACTTTCATACTGTTTATACTCTGTGCTCTAGAATGGTCAAAATTATTTGTTTTGTTTCTTTTTTTAGAAAGGAGAAGAGCCCATTAGCAAGAGGAAAGTAGTCAGGTCTGTGCACTTCTACAGTATTAACAACTACAGTATTAGGAGTTTATATCTACAACACATTTAAAGAACATTGAAGTGTCCACACTGTACCACCATATTTCCCCAAAAATTAGACTAGATCTTATATTAATGCTTACTCCAAAAGACACAATAGGGCTTATTTTCAGGGGATGTCTTATTTTTGATGTACCACAGTCTACATTTATTCATGTATAACAATCTACATTTATTCATTTATTCATGTACAGAAATCTACGTTTATTCAGATACAGTGATATCATCTTCTTCTGGAACATCACCCTAACGCTCTAAACCTGAATTCCAGCCTGAATCTCTTGTGGCTCCATTTCCTGTGGAACTACTGGCCCCAGTCTCCCAGGTCCAGCAGCAGAGCACTCCTTAATGAGCACTTCCGGTCCATGTAGGCCGCCTATAGTGCATGGTTAGAATGTAGAACATACTGAGTCATATTAGACACAAGCACACCAATTGTTATCAAGTGTGCATGTTATTCATGGATTGTGTCTGTACTCTGCCTGGTCATTAGGCAATAAGTCTGGAGTTCATCTGTTTAAATAGTTCTAGGTTTACATAGTTACCTCTCTTCCAAAGGTATTTACAAATACTTAATTATAATTTATAATATCACTTATTTTAATAATTAATGTCAGTATACTATTTATATTCAAGTATATATTAACATTATTTTATAACTCAATATGTCCGTTATGTGTAGCAACAAATCTACTAATTGTAACTGTCGGGCTGATGATCTTAACTGGGTCTTATTTTGGGGGTGGGGCTTATTACAAGCATCCTGATATATCATGCTAAGGTTTATCTCCTGGTTAGGTCTTATTTTGGGAAAAATACAATGATATAATCCACTCAAATCCAGTTTCCTACCCAAGGAAAATTGGGTAAAGTATACGTGGGTTTTGGATTCAGACCAACCTGGACTCAGATTCTGACAGGCTTATCAGATTTGCATCTTTGGCAAGTTTCTTAACCCCTCCGAGCTTGTGTTATTATTTTTAAAGATCAAGACAGTAAGACTTACTTTATAAGGGTGATATGAAAATTAAATGGAACATAGCAAACGCACCTTTCTGTTGTATCATGTAGCAAACATTTAATAAATGATTCCTTTCTCCCACCATTCCATTTGCCTCCAGCTCAATGTGAAGGTCAATCAGGTTGCACATGTGCTCAGGTGAGAAGATGTCCAAGGGTAAGGTCTTCCCCTCCTCCCTTCAGTAACTGCAGGTCTGTGCTGTCCTTTCCTCCCAGATAGAGCTGTCAGGGTAGCTGCAGTGGAGACTTCCTTTGTTTGTTTACTTGTTGTTTATTTAGCAAATACTGGGCCCTCCTGTGTAAGAGGCACTAAAGATAGTGAGAGTTTCCTTGAAGAGCGTTTCCTAAAGGTGTTCCAGGCACAACTCCGAAGGTTAGTAGACATTCCATGGAAACTGATTTTGGGGGAAAGTTTTTAAAGTTCATTCACCATGAGATTGGGGATGTAAAGCAAAGCTTGTGTCTGATCCCAGAACTGTTTCTTCCAAGAGCATCTGGATTCAGTGGTAGTGTTTGTCAGGACCTGCTTTGGGCCGACTGCGGAAGTTCCAGCCCGAGCCCTGAAAGCTCCCCACGGAGGTGGGTGGGAGCAGGGGTCCTACCGAGCCTGTGATGACCATCCTAGCCCTACACGTAGGAGCAGTGCAACAGCTGGGGGCTGTGCAGCAGACAGGACTGCAGATGTGATTTGCAGCTCCCTGCCTGGCTGTGAGCAGGCTGTGAGTATTCTTTGACCCTCACTTCCCAGTAGGGATGGTAATATGTGCACACCAGGTATGGAATGAAAGTAGAACCTGACCGCCTCTCCCTGTCTGCCCCACACATGCCCATTGTTCTCTGAGAAGTTTTATTATATCCTGGGAAGCACAGCACAGCCAGTCAGAGATAAATACATCCTGCTGGTTTAAAGAGCAAATGCATGGGCCTCATCGTCTGCCCGTCCTCTGTTATTTTGCTGGCAGTTTTGTGCTTCTCTGCACTTCAATGTTCAAGCCAGAAATGCTGAGACAACAGAAGGGGAGCAAAAGGGTCTTCATCTTCCCCAAATCCAAAACACCATCTTCTGGGCAAAGTGGTGTCCACTAACCATTACCATGCTTGGTCCACACTTCTGGGCTACTCATGCTCAATAACGTCCAAAAGGAATTGCAATATTAAACCAACATTTCACATACACTGTGAGTGGCAGTGTGTGAGATTCACAGTGCAAATTCCTGGGCCAGGGATTTAGCTCAGTGGTTCCGCAAGGTCCTGAGTTCAGTCCCCAGTACCAAAAACAAACAAACAAACAAACAAAAACCACAATGCAGATTCCTCAATCAGTACTGTAATCTATGTCTAATTAAAAAGAGTTCAAATTTCTTTTTGGTGATAAAAATAAATCCAAAAGAAATAATCAAATGAAACATAAATCTTCACATACAGAATATTTATATGTTTATTGAATCACTACTGCTCCATGTCAGCTAACCAGAGAATGAAATATTCCACCTAGCCAAATTTGCCAGATAAATGAAGTGCAGAGTAAACACACACTTCCTGTCCCATTCATGCCCCCTTCCCTAGAAAGCAGAAAAGAAAATGGAGAGGATGTGAAAAAAAGGTGCAACATCCACATTTTTTTCCTTGTCTTAGTTTTTATTTTTATCAGCATATGTTTGCAGTACACAGTGACTCCATTCATCCTGGGGAGTTGTTACTGAGTCCACACTGAGAAGGCAGAGGGGTGCAGATAGCCTGAGAGCAAGGACTGGGAGGAGAGGTGCCACAGCCCTGCCCACACGGAAAGTGCTCCTCTCCACCCAGCTCATCAGACAAAGACTTTGGGAAATGTCTTTGGTGGAAGGGCCAGCAAAGACAACAGATGGGGAAGGTTTGTAGACTGGAGCTTGAAAATTATTTGCTTGCTTGATCATTTTTGTCATTTGATACAAGGTCTCCAGATATAGTTCAGGATAGTCTTGAATTTACTATGTAGCCCAGGCTAGCCTCAAATTTACAATCCTCCTGTCTTGGCCCCTAGGTGGTAAGATTACCACCATGTGCCACCACACCCAGCCTGAAATTAGGGCTTCTTCAAATAGAAAATGTGTATGTTGGTTACAGTTATTAGTTTAACACTGAAAGAGTCAAAAGATTTGGTTCTTAGGAGTCATTGGAGCTTAGTGAGAGCTTTGGGGGCATCTCCAGGCTTTTGGAATGTGTCAAGTAGGACCCCCCAAAAAGGTAACAGGGAGTTCATTGATAGGGCTTGAGCTAGTTCCTAATTTTAAAAGAAAGGGGAGTAAATCAAACTTCTACACTTTCTTCTGGTTTGTTAAGCCAGCTGTCTAAGGTAGAAAACTAGAGCATAAGACTGCAGCTCTGTGTACCCGCCAGGACATGTCCATGCTCCCTAGAAACTGACTCAGCTAAGCAACTGCAACACATTTCCTTCTCTGAGAGACAAAACATCCATCACTCTACTTCTCTGCTTACTTGACCAAAAAATTCAGAGCAGCCTAGTTTCGTTTTAGTGGCCCAAAACCACTACACTCGTTTCTATTTCAACAGTCTTTGCAGCCCTGACAAACATTAGACTCTGTACCAAGCATCCTCACTTCTCTATTTTTTTATGTTTTTGTTATATTTTGGTGTTACTATCTTTATCTTCTGATATCTTTCTGGTGAATATGATTTTTTTCTAAATCAAAATAATGCTCTTTCCCATCCGATTTGGTGTTTCTAATATCTTATCTGAAAAAATAATATTATCTGAAAATGGTAACATTTGGAATTGTAACTCAAAGAATAAAGAGAATCTTAAAAAGTTGCTTATGAGTACGTGACCTTTAGTGCAATATGTTCTCTGTTTTGCTAGCTTTGGAGACATTGTTTTTTTTAATTTCTGAGTTGTATGTTCCAGGTGGCTGCATTTAAAGAGAAGCAGTATAGATATAATCAAGGAATCCACTTGGTAAACATTATACTGGCTCTGGCGCTGGCACCTTTCTTTCATATCCTACACATGCTGCACCAGTAAAGCCTACCAGATTCACCTCGGAAATGTGCTGGCTCCAACCATATCCCCGCTTCAGCTACCGTCCCCCTAGATTGTCCTTAAGTCCAGATGAACGGGGGGGACCTCCAGACAGCCCTACTCCCAAGGACCCTCAGTCTCCCAGTCAGAAGAGTCTGCTGCGTCAGATGCCTCATGTCCAGCTTGTTCCCCAAATCAGTCAGTGGTTTCTTCACTCACAGTGAAGTCGAAAGCTATTACACTATTTCATCTCCAGCGACTCCTCCTGCGGTCTTGCACCCACCCTGGCCTCGGCTCTGCTCTCCATGTGCACCTGGAATGGTCTCACTGTGCCTGTATCCCTGGGTCTGCTTTGCTTTCTGAAGCTGTCCAGGTGGCCTCCTCCTCCCTTCTTACAGTTCTTTTCCAGTTGTCCCATTCACGGTGAAACTTGCAGCCACTTGACCTCATATTTCAGCAATAATCTCTATGCTCCTTTGTGTCTTAATTTTTTCTCTGTGGCATTTAGCATACTGTATATTTTACCTACTTATCCTGCTTATTATTTCTCCACTAAAAGGTGTACTCTATGAGGACTTTTTCCTAATCTGTTTTTCCCTATTTCATATCTCCAGAGCCTAAAATAGTATCTGTACATATTAGATGCTCAGTTGTGAAATGAATACGTGAACTATTTCAGTCTCTTGTTTAAGTTGCAATGAAATTCAAACATCCCATTACTTTCTTTTATATATTTAGCTCCTTCTCATTTAGTATTTTTAAATCTTTAGTGCCGTCTCACCCTCTCATTGATCAGTCTAGGTTGATCCCAGACTGCCTCTTACTAGCTGTGTGACTTTGGTCAAACTATTTAGTCTCACACAACCCACTTTATTCATGTATAAAACACAGACAGTAACAGTAATACTTGACCTATGGGGCTGTTGTAAAGATTAAAGGAATTAAATGCCCAGGGTATACAACACAGAAAGGACTTACTAAATATAATTTGTTATTTTTCATATATTTTAATATATGCATCAAAATATCATATTTTTATATTATGAAGAACAAAACAAACCCAAAAACTAGAATAAAGTTTGTCATATTCATGGTACCATCCTTTGGTGACAAGTAGCTTAGAGAGAGAGAGAGAGGGAGGCAGAGAGGGAGAGGGAGAAAGAGGGGGAAAGAAGAGAGAGGGAGAGACAAGGGGGAGAGAGAAAGAAAGGGAGAGGGAGAGAGAATAAATGAACAAGTTCTGGCAAAGCTGTGGTAAAATAATTGTCGTGGTATACATAATTGTTGGCAATGTATTAACTTGGACAACTCAACAATATTATCAAGAGTCATGAAAATATACATACTTTTAAAACAAAAAATCATATTCATGGTAGATTATTCTAGGAAAACAATTCAAGATATAAGATATTTTCAAGCCATTACTAATCCAAATATTGTAGAAAATTAGAAATGATCAAAGTTCAAAAAAGAAGATCTATTACTTAGGCAATTAAAAATATATTTACCACTATAGCTGCATATTAATATTTATGATATACTAAGTACATCATATTTCTGATATAATGTTAAGTAGATAAGCAGTATAAGAGAAAAAATTTAAAGTTTAAAGTTAAAAATTTAAAGAGGTAAAAACCTTCACCTAATTGGTCTTTCTGTATTATATTGTTTTTCTATTTCTTACCAAATATGAAATAAATGGAAACCAGCGAAAAGTAATATCTTCTAATATTGTCGACAATTCTCAAAATAATTTTGACCATTGTACTAGGTAGTAAAAATAATTCAAATTTGACTCCTATGCTACAGTACCACATGGTAATAGTGTATCAGTAGATTTCACATATATTATTCATTTTTTGTAAGAATTAACAATCACATATAAACTTTAGCCAAACCAAAGGGCCCTCCAATAGCACTACTGAACAGAGCAGTGACTGGGAGTCGAGAGCAGGGTCTCTGCTCCTTCCTGACACTGCAGCCTGCCAGCAGCCTCCGAAGCACCACTCTTACATGGTGTGCCTGAGAGTGTGGCTTGTGAAGATAGATTAAGATAATGAACATAACCTGGCAAGGGGTAAACTGTCAGTAAAAATAAGCTACTAATATTATGCACAATAGAATCTGCTGTTTAGATTCATCCAAAGGAAGTGCTTTAAATTGGCCTTCCCTATACCAGGCATGGTCCTGCAAATCTGTAATTCCAGCACTTTGAGGGCCTGAGGCAGGAGGATTGATAGTTTGAGCCCAGCCTAGACAATAGTGACTTGGTGAGACTTGTGTCAAAATTTAAAAATTTAAAAAGGCGGGGGATGTAGCTCAGTGTGAAGGCCTTAGGTTCAAGGCCAGCACCAAAAAATAAGTAAAAATTAAAAAATGGCTTTTCCCCAGTATGACTATACTTTCTCTCCATCTCTGTTCCCAACCATGGAAATGTAACACGTGATGCTCCATTATATTCTGTCCCTGAAACCCTTGGAACTTACCCCTTCATCGGCCACCATTTACTGACTGACTCTCCTATCAAAGCACATCCTTCCTCCACAGCCAGCTTCTGTGTAACCTGCCCCCAAACCCCAGAGGATTTCTCCTGCTTCAGAACTCACACAGCATGCCTCTCCAGCAGTTTCCAAATCTGAGCACTACTGACACTTAGGACTGGTGTCTGTGTGTGGGGCTGTGCAACACTGACAGTGGAAATCTCCCTTCACCCAGTCCTGGCAAATTGTGACAACCAAAACTACCTCCCAATGTTTCCCCAAGGGTCAGATGTCCAGGGCAGGCAGACACCATCTCTGAGAATCACTTTTCTCTAGCATCCCTCTTCATAATGCATGTGCTTTTCAATGAGGTTATTCTTTAATTAGTGTTTCATTAACAATTTTTATGTATCTCTTTTCTTCTAATAAAATTCTGATAAATTCCTTACAGGCAAGTGCATGTGTTTTGATCAGTCCCTGTCTTCTACTACTTGGCAACTAATTTTGTTTTGACATAGTAAATAAGAGCAGTGACTCTGAGATACTTGAGTTTTATTGTGCATAAAAAGATAAGGATAGCATCTTCTTCATAAAGTTCTTATGAGGGTTAAATAAACTGATATCTGTAAAACACTCAAAGTAAATGTTATCCAAATACTAGTGAACATGATACATATAGAATGCAAAAGAATGCAAATCAGTAGGGTGATGAACCTGCAGAAATTTTTCATATTACTGAAAAGAATGAAAACCATATCCAAAAAATTAAAAGACCACATATAAAGCAAAATATTAAAGATTTATAATAAGCAAATGTCACAATGTAGTGTGTGAAAGATTGTCAGGTGAATGATACAAATATTTACAATTCAGAGAAGGGAAATTAATAGAATGGAATGGTGGAGAAGGAGTCATAGAAGAGGTAAAATTTGAATAGGGCTTTAAGAAACAAGACAAAGAGGAAAGAAAAGAGTCTAGGAAGACCCACTATGTTCACACCAGCATTATAATTGAAGGACCCTAGTTAGCAAAACAGACTCCATATTGCTGCTGGACCCACCTGCCTACCCTTTAGATGAACTCAGAAGGAGGAAGCTTAGAAACCTCCTCCCCTCAGAAAGTCTCTTTAGAAACAACAATCAACTATTGTTTTACAAATGTTCTAACGGCAGGACTTTCCGCTTCTGTACCTTTCACTTGCTTTGCTAGTTCTATCCCATAGGGGGGCCTAGAAACTGTTGGCCTCAAAGGTGTATAAAACATGTTTGTCTCCCCCAAGTTGGGGCTCGAGTCTGATGCTCGGCTCGGGTCCCGGCCGTTAATAAACTCCTGTGTGGATTTAATATCGGTCTCTGGTTGGTTCTTTCTCGCTGGGTCTAACAATGTACAAGAGCCAAACTAGGGAAACAACCTAAATGTTCACAAACAGACGAATGGACAGACAATGTGGAATGCACACACAATGGAATATTACTTGCCTCAGAAAGAGGCAAGTCTTACTGTCTACAAATAGGGAAACCTAGCAGCCATTGTGCCAAGTGAAATAAGCAAGCCACAGAAGGACAAATCCTGTGTGATTCCACTTATACAAGCTATCTTAAATAGTTACACACAGAGAAGCAGGGGCCAAAGAAAGGGGAAATGGAGAATTATCTTTCAATGAGTAAAAGGTGCCTGTTATTCATGGCAAAATGAATAAGTTCTCAAGATCCGCTGTTCAACATATTGCCTATGGTTAATATTATATTGTGCATTTTAAATATGTTAAGAAGATAGATCTTGCGCTTTGTGTCTTACCAAACAAAACAAAACAAAACAAAACCCAAAAAGTAACACATTGAAATTCAGGGAGGTAATGGATATGTTTAGCACATTGGGGGTGATGATGGTATCATGGGTATGTGCATATGTCCAAACTCATCGAGACACACACCTTAAATATGTGTAGCTTGGCCAGGTGTGGTGGTGCACACCTGTAATCCCAGCACTCTGGGAAACTGAGGCAGAAGGATAGCAAATTCCAGCCCAGCCTGGGCAACTTAGTGACTTAGTGAAATCCTGTCCTCCCCCCCCAAACACACACACACACCCCAGTATCCTTGTGACCCCATATTTCATGTGGTGTCTTCCCAAAACAGGGCAGTCATCCTGCTTATTGAGCACTCACTGTTTGGCAGGTGTTGCATCTCCATCATTTCAACATCTTCAAAACAAGCCTGTGACAGTAAATTTTTAATTCTTTTTTTTTTTTGGTACTGGGAATCAAACTCAGGACCTTGTGCTTTCAAGGCAGGCGCCAGAACCACTGAGCTAAATCCCCAGCCCAGTAGATTGTTATTCTTTTGTTGCAGAGAAATAGGATCAGAGAAACTAAGTGACTTGATCAAGCATCAGGGAGAGGGAGAGGGAGGGGGGACCTTTATTTCAATAACATTTAATGTTTACAAAAAACATTGACATTTCCTTGCATTCTAAAGATAATTCTGTTGTCAGTGGGAGAAGGAGTTTTTTAGGGACAACTTC